GCCACGCTCAGTGAAATCGTACCGGTATCAATCCTCGAAAATAGTTTCGGGTTTCATATTGACGCCTCGCTGACGAGACGCCGTCACTTCACAGAATGTGTTAGATGAACCAAAAATTATTTTAACAGAGACAGATCTTAGTCATATTGCAAATTACCCAAAATATTCATGTCGAATGTTTTTTTGATAACTAATAGTATAAAACACATAATAAGCAAAATTTCCTTGACAAACTAGATTTTCGACCTTTTCAACATTAAATTTTGACGAATAAATATTACACGAGACTTTTTTAACACTTAAATCTCTATAAATTAATGTTGCTCAGATTTTTTGACAAGAAGAAATCGACATTCAATCGTATGAATTCCTCAAATATTCTCCGTTGAGTCTATAAGATATCTCGTATATGAAATCAACAGCGATACGCGTACACGTTTGACGTGCCAAGACTCGGATCGATACTCGGAGGCACTCGCGGCCTCTCCGGGAGGGAGAGGGCCGTCCTTCCTCTCGCTCGTTCCCACCGTGGCTAGGGAGGAGGACTCGAGGGATCGCAGATAAGAACGAGCAATGAGAAAAGCGCACCGTGGAAAAAATTCCGCTCGAAAATTCGCTGATCAAAGCACCTCTTAAAATGGAAAAAAACAGTCAAGATGAGATTTTTATTCATTATTATTTTAATATAAATAAAGTTTTAAACAATCTTATCTAAAAATATTTTGTCATGATATTTATATAAATATATGAATATATAAAAAATATACTATATTATAATACTTGAAAACATCAACAAATAATTGAAAAACAGAAATAGTTAGAAATCACAATAAGCAGAAATACACGAATGTGTCATAGATTCAGATGTCGAAATGTCAACGGTGTATCGTAAAGATTATTCCGAGTAAGAAATGGCAAACAAACGATAAATATATATTCGTGTCAAAACTTTGTCAAAAAGTTATCGTCGGCGTTTATGTCATTGTGGAATCAAAACTAAAAAAAAACAAGAGTTAAAGGAATGTTGAAGTTAATTAACGTTGGATTAAATCGGACATTAATAAAGAACTTTATCTCGGATAATTCTAATTGCCTTTTTTGTTTACGCGGTACTCTTCGTGTTACACTACTCGCACGAATACTCGTCGCGCGTTCACCATAAGAAGAAGAGAGATAAGAATAAAAGAGGACGAGAGAAGAAAAAAAGAGCAGCGGGCTCTCGTTATAAATTACGATCGCATTTCGGATCGCCGAAGCTTTTCACCGCGCCAGATAAACGCGTGTTTCATTAAACGAGACGCATTTATCGGGCAACGTCGTGCGCATGTTCACAATTAATATCGGCATATTGTGCTCGCTGGCACGCGGATAAATTGCAACAGTCGGAATAATCGAAGTGTGCCCTCATGGGCGTTTAAGCCACGAATGTTTTGGGGCTCGAAAAATCGCGCCAATTCGACTTCAAAAGCTAAATGTATGTCCTTTAATTGCTTCACAAACGCAAACATTAAATACTTCACTCAGTAAAAATTAAAATCCTCTCATTTAACGTCTACATAAATTTAAAAAAGATTTTTTATATGACATATTATTGTTTAATAATAACATAATATTTCCAAAAAAAAATACAAGTTTAATTCGGGAGACAATTTTAGTTCAAATTTTATGGACAATCTAATAAAGTTCACATTATCAGAATGAGAATTAAATGTTCAAATTAATTGTTTAGAAATTAATTTCTAATTTAGAAAAGTAGCAATTTGATTCTAATATAAAGATGTCATTCCACCGCCTATTTGAACTTCTTTCTCCATTCCTCGTTTTCTTCCTCTCTCGAAAAAACGAAATCTCTCGTCTATAGACAGACGTGAAAGCAGAAAGAACGTATGCACGAGTTCTTCGAACCCCAACTCCGTTCGCTGCTGACGACGTTAAAATTAAAATCCAGTCGATGTGCAACAGCTGCCCGAGTAGAAGAAAGAAACGGAAAGAAAGTAGAAGAGGGAGAGAGAGAAAGAGGGAGGGAGAGAAAGAAAGAAGAATGATATTTATTGCTGGAACACTGCGCGCATCTCTTAAGAGCCACTAAGCCCTATACACTTAATGCATTACGACACGATTAAATTGCAAGACCTAAATAATTGCTCTTGGCAGCTCGGAAAGCATAACGAGAATGACGTGTCAAATAGATAACAAGATGAATGTAGAATTCCATATGTTACTATTATCATCAATTGTACTCTTGCTGTGATTACGCTATTATTTTACTATCAATATTTTCATTATTTTGACTTTATTATAATTTATATATCAAATAAAAAATTGCAACAAATACGTGCAAAGATGTAAAAGAAAAGATGCTTTCATTATTCCGAAACCAAATCTGAAAACAATTTCTGAGCTTCTGAGAGTCGAAGTCGCTGTTTAGAGCCGACATCCCAGAATGCTTGGAAAGAGAATCGCGGTCTGTGTGG